GGGCTACGGTTTAGGGTTTAGGGTTTAGGGTTTAGGGTTTAGGGTTTTGGGTTTAGGGCTAGGGTTTAGGGTTTAGGGTTTAGGGCTAGGGTTTAGGGTTTAGGGTTTAGGGGTAGATACCTTAAGGGCTCCTTTAAAGGAACTACAGGTGGGCATCCTCCTGGTTTCCTGAACCCTCCCTAAAGGCCTTCACCTCGAAACCTAAAGCCTCAAACCCTAAACTCCTCATGGGTGGTTTTCAAAATTATGGTCCCTTTTTGGGTCCTTATTATAATACGGCACCTATTATTTAGGGTACCCCAAATGGGACCATAATTTTGACAACTACCCTCATGGACCTTTTAGCGGAACCCCGAAAGCTTCCAAAGCCCGAAACCCGAAACCCTTTTAGGTTAGGGTTCAGGGTTTAGGGTTAATTTTAGGGTTTGGGGGTTTAGAGAACCCAGATTTCCAGGACCCTTATAGTAGGGTTCAGGGTTTAGGGTTAAGTTTGGGGTTTGGGGGTTTAGAGAACCCAGATTTCCAGGATTGTGGTTAGGGCTTGGCGATCGGAGGCAGATCGACTCTTCTGTGCTAGGCTCCCACATTCTGAGTCCGAGGATGTGCATGCAAAAAGGTAGTTCTCTCTATAGGACCCCGAATCTGTTCCGTTTAGGGTTGAAGGACCCAGGTTTTGAGTCTAGGGCTTATTTAAGTTATGTAGGTAGTTCTCTAAACTAGGGTCCCTTTTGAGGGTCCTGTTTACAAGAGTGCCGTACTTTATTGGGCACCCTAAAGGGGACCCTAATTTACATATAGTACACATGCATGTACATGCACATATACATATGCATGCACCTACATGTATAGACAGATACAGCCGTGCATACACGTGAAATACATGCCTGCACTCGCGCAGACATGCCTGCATACATCCATCCACCCGCGCATACATACTGTGCATGCACTTGTGTAAGCGGTACTGGTTTAGGACCACCCTAAACCCTCAACCCTCAAAACGCCCAAGAGCCCCGTTTGTTCCGCAAGAAAGTTTCCTAAACCCTAAACCCTAAACCCTCAGTGGGGCTCTCCGACTTCTAGCAAAACGGCAAAAGGTCCACAAACAAAAGCCCTAAGTCGGTACTTGGAGGGTCGGGTGACTTAGTAACTGGTTATTTTATAGACTTATAAGTACTATAACCCCAATTAGGGTCCCTTTTAGGGTACTTATACGTCTACTTCTTACCTACTTACTAAGTCTCCCGACCCTCCAAGTAGTGGTGAAGACAAAACGTCCGGATCGCCTCGTTGGGGCTTCAGTTGCTGGGCCGAGAAGGCTTTGGGGCTTGACCCTAAGGGTCCATGTGCCCATGTAATGTAGTAGATACTTTTGCCATAAAGCACCTATATAGGGACTAGCAGGGCAAAGTATATATCATTTGGATATTATGGTTAGGGCTTCAGGCATTACTTTACGGTTGTAGGTTTCATGGTTTCGGCTTGCTCAGGAAGATCCAGTACACTTGCGACCGGGCGCTTCCTGCCCTTTCCAGTCTCTTGGATCTGATCTTCGGGTTTATCATTTAGGCTTCAGGGTTCGCGTCGCATGGGGTGTCTTTAGGGTTAATTAGTTGAAAGTGTTTTTGGGGTCCTGATATTATAGCGAGAGTAGAGATCGACTGCCGGGTCCCCAAGGGTCGTTGACTTTCTGAGGCTTACAAGGCTTCGCTTGCAGGCAGGGTTGCTGAAGCATTCGAGTTTTTGGGTGCCAGCAAACATCTACCGAGTCCTTTTTTGGTCTTAAATACTCCATACTCTGGCAGAAAGTGCCATCGAGCAACAAGGGCGTTTATGCCGGTTCCAGGCTTCAAGAAACTAGGGGTCGTTCTGGATGTGGCTTTTTCTTGCTTCAGCCTTGGGCCTAAGCTCCTGAGCCATACTTTTGGGGGTGCAGGGTGTGAGGGTTTTGGTGGGCCCTACAGAATCTAACACTTCGGGTGTTGCTTGTTCAATTTTTTGGTCAGACACTAAGACCTGTAGGGCCTAAACCCTGAACCCTAAACACTAAACCCTAAACCCTAAACCTCGCAAGCAAGCCTGAACAACCGCAGCCAACAGTTGTAGTAGAGGATTCCTTCTTACGGTTTAGGGTTTAGTGTTTAGGGTTTAGGGTAGGATTCCTTCTTACGTTTTCGTAATCAGTTAAACTGGAAACCCAAAAACTCCAATTAATTAGCACGCTTGGAATTGCCAAATCCGAATCCAAATTTGAGCAAGTATCCATACCACCTTCAAAAACCCTAAACCCTAAACCCAAACCTTAAGCCCGAAACCCTAAACCCTCAAAAGGCTTGTTCCAACCTTGATACACTACCCCCAAAGTCTGCTGCCGTAGACTGAGTACGTGCAAGACCCGACTCCGCTGATATTAGGAACCCAAAAAGAATATAAGCATGAGCATTGTATAGGGATGTCCCTACCTTATGGGCTTCATTATAGGGGGTTTATATGGGATATCCCTATCCTACGTTTTGCTTCTGCTGTTGTGGGGCCCTATGATAGACTGCCGAACCGCTAAACCCCAGCCCCTAAACCCTCAAATGACACCTAAAGCCCTTAAACCCTGAAGCCTAACCCTAAACTCTGAACCCTTAAATTCTCAACCCTAAACCCTGAAGCTTAACCCTCAACTCTGAACCCTGAAGCTCTAAAGCCTGAACCCTTAAACTCCAAATAGACTCCTTCCCTGACCCTCAAAGGACTCGTATGTTCAGGCTTTTGGCCCCTATTATAGAAGGCTTTTGGGCTGTTGTGATGCTAAGGGCTTAGTAAGCCTTTGAGGGACTTCGGTCCACGTAAGCAGAGTAGATAAGCAAATAAACGAAAACTAAAATCTCTCTCTACATATATATATATATATATATATGCAACACATGCATACAGCGATATCTAAGCATGCAATGTGTATGTATACATATATATATACATATATATATATATATACAAGTTTGTATATTGATATGTCGTTCCAGGGCGCTTTACTCAAAATATTGTAGCCTCGATGCTGGTACCTGCGATTCAGGCCCTGGGCGGAATCTTCAAGCCTGAATAGTTGCCAATTAATTCCTTCAGGTTCAATACTATATCCAAGATATAGTAACCCTATTCTCAGTATGAAGAATCACAAAGCTCCTTTGGTCACCCGCGTTGTCCCCTTTCTGGATACTACTTAAGCTGCCATAACCCAACTTTGCAATTATCTCATGTTATGAATTCAACTGGAAAGTACAACAAAGTTTGATTCGGCAGCTGCAGGTAAGGTTCCTTGCTTAGAACACGGCCAAGGCAAGATGAGTGAGAGCAACCAGATGACCGTTGCCGAGTTTGCTCCTGCATCTGGTTTATTAGGGTCCCCCACACTCCGTACGGGCCATGTAATGTACCTTGATGGTTCCTCTAAGAGGTCCTTGGGGTTCCAAACGGGCAAGTGCCATAAGGGCTTGAGGGGCCCGGGGATACGGGTCCGTGTTCACATGCAATAGGTACTTTAGCCTTAAAGTACCCATATAAGGTCGACTATCAGGCCAAAGTTCATACCATGGAATGCTCCTTAGATCGCATTAGCGATCCTCCCTCAATTTGGGCTATACTCCTTAAGTTTTGGATTACATCTCAAATCATTTAAAAAATAGGGGTCATAACAATTTTTGGGATACTGTCTCCTTTCGTCGGGATATTGGAAGATCTGGCCAAGGAGCACGAAATTCGCAAGGTGGAGATGACTTCCAAGGAGGTGCTCGGGATCGGCATTACGTTTTGGGGTTTTCGGGGGCGGCGTTCTGTAAGGGTTCTATCATGGTTCTATGCGGGTTCCATTCATAAGAGTTCTCTAACGGGTTTATGGTAGGGTTTGTGGCTGCAGGGGCTTACGATGGTTTGGGGTCACACATCATGACAAGGGGGTTCCTTATTCTAATTACAGTATACTATACCCCAAAACCCTAGTCTTATTCTTAAGGCCCCTATACTACCATTTGGGCAGATGCATCCGAAACCCTAAACCTCAATTTCCCCTAAACCCTAAACCCTTCCAAAGGCGGTCCTCCTGCTCAAGCTCTTGAACGTGGAGGACACACCCGCGCCGCTGGACACTTTGCAGGCCTTGATTGCCTTGCAGGGTCTAGAGTACCACTGTAGATGAGATAAATCCTGCATTACCTTAAGGACCCTCAACTATGGGAATTATGGTATATTCTGTGAGTACCTTTAAGGACCCTAAACTATGGGGTTTATGGTATATTCCTTATTATGGGTAAACCCTACACCCTAAGCTACGGGAATTCTGGTATATTCCCTGAACCCTAAACCCTAAACCCTAAACCCTAAACCCTAAATCCTTTTCATGGGTACGGCAGGATTTTACATCACGAACTCTGGGTCTCCTATCCACTGGGCCTTGTCTCCTTCCGTTTGTGGTCCGGGTCCGGGGTTTAGGGTTTAGGGTTTAGGGTTTAGGGTTTTGTGGTCCGGGGTATAGAGTATGATCTACAAAGGGGGGGGTGGAGTGAGAACTTCAGAGGGTATGATTTTAGGGCTGTTGTTTAGGGTTTAGGGTTCAGGGGGCTGTTGTTGTTCTTTGTTTTTTGGGAGGGCCCTAAACTCGAATCCCTAAACCCTAACCCTGGGAGGTTGGGCATTTGGGGGTTCAGGGTTTGCGGTTCCATGGGGTTTCGGGTGTAGAGCTTTACGGGCTTGGGGGGGGCCTTACTATGCAGGATTTTGTGGGTTTGGGCTTTGGGTCTTTGAGGGTTTTAGGCAGTGGGAACTGGGGCTTCCAAACTTCAGGCATATGATTACTGGATGTTGTTTGGAAATGACCCACAGTTATTTGATCTGACTCTTGCTCTTCGTTATTAAAACCGACATCGATGTCATCAGCCGTTCTTCTTCATCCTATTTTCCCGTCGTAGACGCTGTCATGACAGTACACGTCTACCTCGTCGCTGCAATGATGGTTGAATTTCATTGTTCACGGAAGTTAGAGCTGGATGTTTTGGAAACTTGAAGTCCAATTTCGGTGTTGTTTTTTGCCTCCCAAGACCCAAAACTCCAAATCCGCACACGCAACCTCCAAACCCGGCACCTCCTCAGCACCCCTGTGAACGGGCCGTTCGTTGGGCGAATCACACTGCATGTTTTTTGGATTTCCTTTTACTAAGGCGTCAGAGTTCCAGCAAAGTCGGGTCCCCCTTCGTGAGCGGGTCCTGACTGCACCGGGAGTGTAGAGGATGTAGCTATTCATTCAAGAACTTTGTAGTTTAGAACGACCTCCAGATGTTTTTAGCGCTTTCGGGCGATAGATTTCGGCAAAACTCTAGAACCATCCCAGCACTGCCCGAAGCACTAAACCCTACATCCTAAACCAACACCCTTCAACTACATCTTAGCCCGTACGGCGAGCTCATGCAGGCGAAGGTGGAAAGTTGTGAGCCGCGCCTGGATGAGCTCAAGGCAATGGCGGGGGTGCCTAAACCCCAAACCCTAAGATGGGGGCCTTAAACCCTAAACCCCTAAACCCTAAACCCCAATATAAGGACCTTTATAACAAGAAGATGGCTTTGGAGGCGATATTGCAGTATTTACTCTGACCTTTGTATTGCGTGTATACCTACCTCTAGTCAGACCAGAATTTCAGTATATATATAGTCATATAAGGACTGCAAACAGGAACATAACGAATTTGCTCCGACCCATAGACCTACTTACCTGTAACCCTCAGGGTCCATATGTACTACTAGTATGGCATTAGGTCCCCAAAAAACACAACAAGGATGACACATGCGACCTGAGCAGGAACATGCACGGAGCTGTG